CCCAAACCCAAACCCAAACCCATGTATAGGTGCCTTTTCAATATAATGCTTCTCTTCAACTAATTAATCTGCTAATACTAACAAAGTTTGTGCTACGTGTGTTAAAAATGTCAATTCATATGAAGGCGAAACTAGTTTATCTTATCCTCCTTAAGCTGATGCTATAGTAAAACCTTAAGTATAATGTAATTAATTTGGGGAAGATCTACAACTGAAACATCATAAGTTAGATGCTCAATTAAATATTTCAAATAAGCAGCAGCTTCTGCAACATGCTCTCCAAGTCCTCGTTGTTTAGAATGTTCTTCCAGTATTAATTGTACAAAATTCAATACTGGATTTTATATATAAGAAAATATGTCAACCATGTCTAACTAATTGTGATAACTTATAATTTATAATTTTAAAACTTGTAGGGATAGAAATTCAATATATTAAATAATCTTAGATGAAAGCAATTTTCTTTAGAGAATTTCTCTTTTATTCATTTTACTACACTATCTTCATGGTTCTTCAAGTCATTCGTTTAAGAAAACCTAAATGTTTTTTCTCTAATACTCCCCATTTTTGAAATTGATTTGTAAATTTATTTTTTTTAATACAATAGAAGAAAGATTTGTACGATTTGTTAGCTTCATCTAAAGATGTTGACTAATCATTATACAAGGCGACAAATGAAATGTTGAGAAAAGACAACATTTCAGACTGTTTAAAATATTTTGGAAAAAATGTTGATTAAGAAGATGTGGCAAAAAATAAAATAAGAAAAATGATAGATATTTTAAGGTAACTTAAAGATCATGGTTTAATCATAAAAATTTTTGGGAAACTTTTATGAAGAATTTAGAATTGATCACAAAAAAAAAATATCAAAAGATGTTTAAATAATTCTTTAAAAATAAATTAAATTATCACTATTTAATTGGGTTAATCAATATTCGTAATTGATTCATTTAGATTGTACAATTGAACTAGTATTTTAATTACTTAAAGTTAAAAGAAAGTTACTTATTATTTGTGAAATATAAGATGATTCCGTTCTTGTTGATAAAAAAAGCTAATGATTAAATTGAAAAAGATTTCATTAAAAACTTGTGTGGTGACGTGTCTAATATTTAAAAAGAATTTTTGATATAGTTAAATTAATTATTATGCTTGAATAAAAAGTAATAGAATAAGAAAAAAAATTTTAATTCAAGTCTTAGCATTCACAATCTTTAGAAACTATTGATACAAAGTTAGAATATTCAAATATCAACAGAATTGTTTCTTGCGAGAACATCTTTCAAGTATTTGATAAGATTGATATACACTAAAAACAAGAATGTGCTCTGAAATTGTAAAACATTGGCGAACGAAATTTAAAGGAGAAGCAAATAGAGCTAAAGAATTTCTAAAAAATAATTATGATAACGATAAGCAAATTAAAATAAATTATTACAGAATATAAGTTGTTTTCAACTCTATTCAAATAAAATATATTCTATTCAGCTAATAATAATTAAGAGATTATATAAAATAATAAGAAACAAAAAAATAGAGCCCTTTTAAAAAGAGTTTTATATAAACATAAGATTTTAATTATTAAAATAGGAAGAATTAAAGAAAATTAAATGCAAATTGAGGGCGAGGCTTCGTATTATTCGAGTATAATTGGAACTAATATTTAACAGAACAAACAATTGATGACAAATAAGTTTCATAATTAAAATCGAATTGATTCATATTTTTAAAAATATAAAGGTTAAAAAAATAAAATAATAAAATATAGCAATTTCATTAGATAGTTAAAATAGATTCGAAGAAACTTTAAAATATTTTGATTATGAGGGTTATAAAACTTTTTTCAATAAAGGTAAGAATTTTTATTAATAACTTACATAGGAAAGACATTATATAATTTAAACAGATTTAAAGAAGCTTTATAAAATTTTGATTATGCAATTTAAAAAAATCCTGAAGATTCTTTGGCATTTAGGTGGAAAGGTAAAAATAATTAAAATTGTAAATATAGCTGTTGCATTAGAAAAGTTAAATAGATTTGAAGAAGCTTTATAAAATTTTGATTATGCAATTTAAAAAAATCCTGAAGATTCTTTGGCTTTTAGGTCTAAAGGTAAAAATAAATAAATAATTAAATATAGCTGATACATTAAGCATGTTAAATAGATTTGAAGAAGCTTTATAATAATATGATTATGCAATTTAAAAAAA